AATAACAGAAATACATGTTCATGCCGACAGCATACAGCAACCACCAAGGCCGCGCAAGCGGCGATGTTGCTTAACTGTGGTGTTGGGAACTAGATTGTAGAAATCAAGAACCACACTGTCCTACATCTCCAAGATGCGAAAATATCGAACGAAAACGACACAGCGAATTGTAGAAATGCACGAGCCACGCGTTCCCCCAACATCGAAACCTACATCGCCGTTGCCTACATCGCCGTTAGCGTGTCTGCGGAACCAGCGCGCACCCGCCAGCTCTGTCAAATAATACCACGCGGGCCACACCCGCGCACACCGCTGCGCGCGCACATCGAAGTCCTCCGAAAACTAATTGGCTTTGGAAGCATGTCGGCACAGAGGCGTTAAACAATCCTATGGCGCTTCACTGCAGAATCTGCCAGGAGTTCACATTACACCAGAGGAAACCCCAAATGAATGGATGGTTTGAAGTGGGATCGATAAAAAAATCGATCAAAATGTCGACCAGAAACCCGGGAACCCGGAACCCACCGAAATCGGCCCAGAACCAATAATCAGGAACCTGGGAACCTAGAGCCGGGAACCCGGGAACCCAGCCGGCCACCAAAATCGGCGGGAAACTTTCGCCAAATCTTTCAATTTCCGCTAGGACATCTTCAGTGCAAGCACTGATTGGGGAATATTCTGCACGCGCGCACGTCCTCATGATCTTCACCAGCACCGTCGTAATCATCGACGCCAGCGTCGTCATTGCCAGCGTCACCATCCTAATCGCCATCGTCGTCATCATCACCACCGTCATCGTCGTGATCGTCGATGTCGCCGCCTTCGTCGTCATTGCCATCGCCATCGCCATCGCCATCGCCATCGCCATCACCATCACCATCACCATCATCATCATCATCATCATCATCATCATCATCATCATCATCATCATCATAATCATCATAATCATCATCATCATCATCATCATCATCATCATCATCATCATCATCGTCATCGTCATCGTCATCGTCGTCGTCGTCGTCGTGGCCGTCGGCATCGCCGATGTCGTCGTCGCCACCATCACTCGCCTGCCGGAGTCATGAATCCGCATGCGCAGGTTCCGCGCGCGACTGCGCCACTTGAGATTCGCGAGCAAATTCCGACGGGTACAGTCGGACCTAGGACAAAAGAACATCCTTCAAGAACACGAGACCCTCTGCCGGCATCCGAGGGTAATCCCCCCAGGATGCACAAGATCATCCAACAAACACCAAGAACATTAGGGCACCCTCCCCGAACCGACCTCGATCTTATGCCTCGGTCCGACTGTAAATACACTCGCGGCCCAGTTGAGTCGTGCCACAACGTTGCGGATGGGTGGGTGGGTGGGATGTGTTACTCATGCATGGGAGGTGGTCACGCGCGGATGCCCAAAATCCATCCTCCTTCTCAAAACAAGCAACATACTCCGCCCTGCTCCCGAAGCCGGACGTATCCCCTCTCGCCTTCTCGTAATGCTATTTACATGTAGTTATGCCTCATCGCTCGTTCTCCGTATGGAGCTGTCCCATCCCAGGCGATCCTGGTTTCGACCTGCCCCCCTTCCCATCATCCCTGTCGAGTAATACAAGCCCGCGGTGCACACGTATTGATCTACGAGCTGTTTTGCTAAGAATGCCTTGCAAACGCTGAATTGCGGGGCATATGCGCACGCCGCCGCGCGCGCATCAAATCCCTGTAGATATTATCAAAAACACGATGAAAATACATGGCGCGTCAAGAACTATCAAACCCACTTTGATGCCGTTTGCAAAAAGCTTCCTAAGATGCTGTGCGTTCGCACAAGTCAAATCTTGGGACAACCGTGCGCTTTTAGCCGTTCTGTCAGATCAGACTATCTGGGCCACTTGCGCGCGCACGTCAAAAACGTTCGACCACCATCGCGCGCACACCAACTCTGACAGGTACTACCATGCGGGCCGTACGCGCGTCTCGCCGCGCGCCCACGCCGAGCTCGTCCCAAAACTATTGGATTCTAACCATTTCAACACAAAGGTATCCAAACACGTACGAAAACCGAATGGCTTTCAACAAAAACATGTCAGGATGTTTGAATTTCTGCGGTCGCCCTCTTGCACATCATCCTCACCAGCACCATCGTTATCATCATCTTCAGCGTCATCAGTGCCATCGTCATCACCATCATCATCACCATCGTCGGGATCATCACCACCGCTGTCATCATCGTCATCGTCGATGTCGTCGCCCTCGTCAACATTCTGCGCGCGGGCACTTCGTCGTCATCATCGTCATCATCATCATCATCATCATCATCATCATCAGCATCATCATCATCATCATCATCATCATCATCATCATCGCCAACGCCATCGCCATCATTACCATCAGCGTCATCGCTGCCTTGTCTTTATCATCACCGTCAACTTCATCGTCGTCGTCGTCGCCATCGTCTTCACCGTCGTCATCAACGTTACCAAAACAATCGTCATCGTCGTTGCCGCCGGCCAGCTATGCCAACAAGATGTGGGTGGGTATGTGGGATGTTTGCGCGAGCAGTGGAATTGGCAACTTCAATAGTGACAAAATAGATTGAGCCCATTGGTTGCATCCCTTGCGCCATACCTGCGACCCCATGCGATGCACCCATAGGTTGCACTCCATACTGTGCATATCAGAAGTTACATCCTATAGCCGGCAACAGAATAGTTGCAACTCGTAAGCTGCATACCGGAATGTTCACCCCATGGGTTGCACTCTACGCGTTGCATCCCAAAAGATGTGCAATGCCAACACAAGTAATTCTTGGGGTCCTCACGCCAGTCAAATTTTCCATGGGTTCTGACAGAACTGCTCTAGCTTCTACAGGTCGGCGTCCGAAACCAAGCCTTGCGATGGCCTCAAGATGGACCAGCAGGCCCAACCAGTCCCTACAATTGACCTCCTTAACTCATCCTCCTCCTCCTCCTTCTCCTCGTACTCGCCCGAGTAGGTGCTCTGACGTTATGCCCCCTTATGCGGATGTCCTTGTCCTTGTCTCCTCGTACTCACTTAACTCTTCTGCGTACTCTCCTCCCTTCTTCATCATCCGCATCAGGCTCTTCCTCTGTTTGGTGCTGATCATCCTCGTCCTCCTCCTCCTCCTCCTCCTCCTCCTCCTCCTCCTCCCCTTCTTCCTTCTCCACATTGCCCTCCCTAAGACACACCCGAGAAGAACATGACACCGCCGCGAGTCTCCTCTTCCTACGGTCAACGTAATGACGTAAACCTCTAGGGATGACAGACCTGACCACCACAAGTTTCGCTGCCGCGTGAGCTCCACATCACTCACTCACTCACTCACTAACTCATCCTTTTTCCTCGCCTCTTAACCCTACTCCTCACTCCCATTATCCTGCTCCTCCTTCGCGTCACCCTCGCCTTCCTCAGCGGACTCGTCTTCCATGTGCTCCTCGTCATCGTTCTGGTCAACGTCCTCTCCAACCTCTTCCTCCTCCGCCACCTCTGATTCAACAATCAGATGCCGCTATCGCTACCCCTCCAACCTCTCCCTGGGTGCGTTCTGACCAGAACTTCGAGGCGCATCCAGCCGTGACGACGAGGGCCTCCTGGGAGGCCCCCAAAAAGCGAAAACAGGACAAAGGTAGCAGCATCGACATCCATACCGCATAGACCACCCTTCGGGTGATAAGGAGGTGAGGGGGGGAGGGACCAACGTCGCACTCGATTGATCTCACTATCGAACTCACTACCGATCTCACAATCGATCTCAATCGATAGATCTCACAATCGATCTGACTATCGATCTCACAATAAATCTCACAATCGATCCCACAATCGATCTCACATTCGGTCTCGCTATTGATCTCACAATCGATATCACAATCGATCTCGCATTCGATCTGACTATCGATCTCACTATCAAACTCACTATCGATCTCATTATCGATCTCACATTCGGTCTCACTATCGATCTCACTATCGATATCACAATCGATCTCACAATCGATCTCGCATTCGGCCTCACTATCGATCTCTCTATCGAACTCACTTTTGATCTCATTATCGATCTCACTATCGATCTCACTATCGATATCACAACCGAACTCACAATCGATCTCACATTCGGTCTCATCATCGATCTCACTATCGAAATCACTACCGATCTCATTACCGATAGTGATCTCACTACTAACTCAATCGATCGATCTCACAATCGATCTGACTATCGATCTCACAATAGATTCCACAATCGATCTCACATTCGGTCTCACTATCGATCTCACTATCGATATCACAATCGATCTCACAATCGATATCCTATTCGGTCTCACAACCGATGTCACTATCGATCTCATCATCGATCTCACATTCGGTATCACAATCGATCTCACAATCGATCTCACAAGCGATCTGACATTCGATCTCACAATCGATATCACAATCGATATCACTACCGATCTCACTATCGATCATCAAAACAAAACATCAACATCGTCATCATCATCACCATCATCATCATCAATATCATCACCATAATCGGGACACCGACGGGGCACCGGCGGGACACCGCGGGCCCCCGGCCGCCCGGAAGGGAATCATTTGGTCCGGCCGCGCCTCAGCCACACGGGACACCAGCGGGACACCGGCGGGACACCGCGGGGCCCCGGCCGCCCGGAAGGGAATCATTTGGTCCGGCCGCGCCTCAGCCACACGGGACACCAGCGGGACACCGGCGGGACACCGCGGGCCCCGGCCGCCCGGAAGGGAATCATTTGGTCCGGCCGCGCCTCAGCCACAGGAGACTTTCCTCTCGCCCGCCCACGCAGCTTCGCCTCGCCCGCACGCACGGCACGCACGAACACGAAACCGAAATCGATTTCCCTGTAAGGGGGCTCTCCGTTCCACTTCGATCTCACCCCCTCACCTCCGACCTTTTCCTCCTCCTCCTCCTCCTCCTCCGCCTCCTCCTCATCGTCATGATGCTAATTTCTCTGCCTCGCCTGCGGGGCAGAATGAACAGCTGCAGGGAAGCGAGCGCCATGCACGCGGCACCCAGCGCTGCAAAGACCAGCTGCCCCGGCCGCCATCGCCGCAGAACCTCAGGGCGGAGGGAGCGAGGGAGGGAGGAAGGAAGTAAGGAAGGAGAGAGGAACCAAGAGGAGGAAGGAGGAGGGAAGGAGGGAGGAAGGAAGGACGGAAGGAAGGAAGGAAGGAAGGGAGGAAGAAAGGAAGGACGGAAGGAGGGAGGAAGGAAGTAAAGAGGAGGGAGGAGCCAAGAGGGAGCGAAGTGGACTGCATCACCTTCCCACAGCATCTGGGGCCCAGGTCCCGGTACTGGTCCAGGCTCGCTTTCAGGCTCTACACGTGATCCCTGGTTGGTTGCATCCTCGCGTTACCGCCCACCCGGGGAGCAAGGGAGGAGGCCGGCCGCATCGGCCTGCATCGCTACAGCATCCCAGCCTCTCACCGGCTGGCTGGCTGGCCAGCGTAGGCTGCGGCAGAGAGAGTGCATCCGCCACAAGAGGACGCAGAGGAGGCCAAGCAGAGCGTGTGCACCAGCTGGGAAGCTGAGCCTGGAACTTGAGGGTTGGGGGGTGGCTACCGGAAGCCTTTTGATGCTTGTTCGGGGTGCTTTGGGGGCCATGCTGGGGCCCTTTTGGGCCTCTTGGAATCTTCCGGGTCCTCCCGGGGCTGTTGCGGGCACGCGTGAAAATCCCTTGTGGACTGGGCCTCGGATTTGAAGCTCTGCGGTTGTGGGGGGTGGGGGTGCGGCTCCTGGGGGTCCCCTGCAGGTCTCGCCTGTGATGCTCGAGGGTCCATTGGGGCCTCTTGGTGCTCTCCTGTGCCCTGTTCAGGGCCCTAGCGGGCCGCCTCGGGGTCAGCTTCAGGCATGTGTGATTGGACGCCCAAAAGGCGACAGGGCGAAGCAGGTTCCAACATGGTTGACCTCTCGAGGGGTCTCCCTGGGAAAGAAAACAGAAAGGAAGCTCAACGAGGGCATCCCAAAAGAGGCCCATGAGGACACAGGTACATAGACACAATTTCCAGGACTCCCATTTCGAAACATACCGTATGGACTTCCGTCTTCCACTTCAGTTTCCGTGTCTTCCCATGTTGTCATGGACATGGACGTTCATTCCTGCCTGTGGTTTTTTGTTCCTCTTGCGTATCCCTGGGAGGACCCAGGGCCGCCTCGAGGCCGTCTGGGGGGCCTTCGGACGACCTCTTGGAGCCGTGCTGGAGGCCACAGTTGGCCAATACGGTCGGACCTCGGACACAATTCAGCATCTTTCAAGAACATGAAACCCTCCGCCGGCCAAAACAGACAGAACAGCCAAGGGCACCCTCCCAAGGGTGCACAAGAACATCCAGCAAACACCAAGAACATTAGGTACCCTCCCCGAGCCGACTTCGACCTTGTACCTCGGGCCGACCGTGCTGCCCCTCTGTGCGCCACCTTGGGGAGGCCTGCGTTGCCTCGTCTTGTCCTGCCCGGCCTACGGTCGGGAACACTTGCTTCGCGTGTCGCCACGGCGGCCCTGGCGACACGCTGTGCCCTGCAAGCTGATGGCGTGCCGCTCCGCTCCGCGGGGGGCTCGGAAAGGCTCCGGACGTTGAGGCGTGAGGACCGGGAAGTGGATAGCGTGTCGCGCCGAAACATGGCGGGTCTGAACTGGCGGAGCGACACGCTATCCAACCTTTTCCGATCGTGCTCCAAGACGTGACCGCGGAGGCCCTGATGCTACGATTTCAGCCGCCGGGAAGGCTCGCCCTCCAGTGTTGGGGGAAGCCCCTCCCTGGGGGTCTGGACCAGGAATGGGGGGGCGGGGTGCGGGCCATGAGAGGGTCCGATCTGGCCCTACGTCCCCCTGGCAAAGTAATGCAACAACTATTTTTGATTTCTTGGGCCCCCCCCGACCCCCGATCTCAGTGTTGAGTCGGCCGCGACCGACAAAGGAAAGATCGAATCGTGCGGCGCCCCGCGTGAATACTGGGATTGAGGGGCGTGGGGGCACGGACCGCGCGCGACAGTTGCATTACTTCTCCAGGGTAGTGTAGATCCTAAGATAGCTCCAAGGCGACCTCAGGTAATACAGGATGGCCTCCAAGAAATGATACAGAAAAAAAAAAACAAGCTGGCCCAGAGGGTCCCCAGCATTGCTCCGAGAAGCCCCAAGACGGCCCCGAGATGACTCTGAGGTGCCCCCCAAGCATCCCAGGGATATCCTCCGAGCGGCAATGACCACTGACCATACTTGTGTTGTTGCTGCGCATCTGTTTCGCCTCCTCGCCGTTCTGGCTTCCGATGAGCCTCTGAGGCCTGAGGCCTCCATGCGGCCTTGTGATTGCCCAAAAGATAACCCAGATGTGCCCCAGGAGGGCCCCAACGGCCCGAACAATGCCAAAAGAACCCCGAGAGGAGCCTAAAGACACCCAGACTTCGGCGCCTCCATACTGGAAGCCGAGAGAAGGGCCGACAAGTCAATCGTGCCACCCTTCTGCTGCTGCTGTCCGGCTCCCTGAGGTGGAACCGTGGACCGAAACAGCTTCGCACGTTCAGCCTCCGCCTGGGCCAAAGTAGTGGCCGCGCCTCCCTCGAGTTGGCCTTACACTTCTCAAGCTCCATGGTCAATTTCAGCTGCTGGGTCTGAGCTATGTCAAACACCGTTTGCGCCCGCTGCACCTTCGAAGGCGCCGCCGTCACCTGCTGGGCGACTGGCTGCGAGCCCTCGGGTTTCTTGCCCGCCGCCCGCGTGGCCTCGAGCAGCGCCTGGGCCGCCTTGGCCTGGTCCGTGCCCGAGCGTTCCTTGATGACTGCCTCCAGCTGCGCCTCCAGCGCCGCCGTGGACTGGCCACCATTGCCCTTGCCCTTGCCTTTCCTGGAGCTGCCGCCTCCGTCCTCCTCCACAGGAGCAGGGACGTTGCCAAACGGAGCCCCGCACAAACACGTGTTCTGGTACGCCTGCAGCTTGGACGCCCAAGCCCACCGAGAGCACGCCGACCAATTCACCTTGGAGTCCGCCTTCTCAGGCGCCCGACGCGCTCCAGCCCCAGACAAGGGCGGAAGTGGCGCTGGAATGGACCATTGCGGCTGCTGAGACACATGCCGCGGAGCCCACGCCATGCCAGAGACACGCTGACGGGGAGGCTGAGGACCAGGTGTCAAGGGGGGCCAAGGGTCGAACTTCGCCCACCTCCTGCTGGTTCTTCTTGTCACGAAACTGCTTGCCTGTATCCATCTGGGCAGACCGACTATTAGTGAGCGGGATCCGAGCTCGGGGACTGCATATCTCAACCGATAGTTTCGGTGGCCACACAAACCCGCCGCGCCCTCTCGACGCCGCAAGCGGTCGGGGTCAAAACGGCCCGAGGAGGATGAGGAAGAGGAAGAGGAAGAGGAAGAGGATGATGATGATGATGACGATGATGATGATGCTGCTGATGATGATGATGATGAGGAGGAGGAGGAGGAGGAAGAGGAGGAGGAGGAGGATCGCCAGCAGCGGGACCAGAACGGGTAGCACAAGCAGGAGAGCGAGCAGCATTGAAGGGGGCGGGGCCAAGCAACGAACGCGCAACGAGCGCAACGATGGAGCAGAAAGATGCCGATACCGCCACTCCTCGGCCCCCTCCTGGGGCGCGCGGCCGCGTGCTGACCAAGCTTCCAGGGCGAGCCTTGCCATGGCGACGAGGGCCTGCCCTGGGCGGCCCAAACAGGCGAAAACGAGGCAAGAGGGCAGCGGCATCGGTGCCTTCTCCTCCCCTGGGCGAGGGCGAGCGATGGGGCAGCTCCTATAGCCCTCGGGCCGTGCAGCCTGCATCACGCGGAGCCCTCTGGCCGCGCGCCGCGGCGCCGCGGCGCCGGCGGCCGCCGCCGAAGGGGCAGGGCGGCCCGAGGCGCGCCGCGGCAGGGCCGCCCCACTCCAGAGCCGCGGCGGCCACGCGGGAGAGCTCGGAGGACGCCCCTTCCACTCCTCCTCCTCCTCCTCCTCCTCCTCCTCCTCCTCCTCCTCCTCCTCCTCCTCCTCCTCCGCCTCCGACGACGACGACGACGACGACACGACGACGACGACGACGACGACGACAAGGAGGAGACGCGGCTGGCCGGTCGGCCCCGCGTGGCACACGAGCGCTTACGATCGGGGCACGCGAGCGCTCGGCGTGCCGCGGCGGCGGCGCCAGCGACACGCCCCGCCAATCGAGCGGACAGCGCGTCGCCCCGCTGCGCCGGGGCGGGGGCTTCGGACAAAACCTCGGGCGGTTGGCGCTGGGCGCCCGGAGAGTGGCCCGGGTGCCGCGCCGAGGCGCGGTGGGCCAGAAGCGGCGGAGCGATACGCTGAGGCCAAGGTTCTCGGCCGCACTGGGAGGAACGCCGAGTGAGGAACAAAGGGGCTCCTCCGGCCGCGGCGGGCCTCGGCACCGAACGCGTTCTCCGACCCGGACCCGGAGAGCGGCCCGGAAGCCTGAGTCGCCTCCCGAGCCCACAGTGGTCCTCACTTCTGCGTCTCAGCTTTGCCTCGGGGCCCCCCGTCAGCGGGGACCGTCCGAGAAGCCGAGACATGTGGCGCGCCCGAGAAAGCTGCAGCCGTTGGCCGAAGCACGATCCATGCTTCCTTTCTCCCTGGGTGGAATTTCCAAAGTCCTGGCCAGCAGTGCCCTGGCTTAGGAGACCCTAGCTCTTGATGCTTCGCGTATCCCCACCTCGGCTCGCCTACGGTCTCGCTCATACCCGGCAGACACCCTGGGCTCTCTGACACTCTTCTTGCACGGAGTCAAGATCCCCACTGCCCTGTGGTCGTCGGACCGAACACGACCCTTGACTGGGGGTGTGCATCGCGCCATTTTGGCCGCGTAAATCCTGCTCCCTGGGTGCCTGTCTCCCCTCAGACTCCCTGGGCTGCAGCTTGCACCGCCGCCTGATCCGCGGCCCGCGCGCGCGCCCGGCTAATTTGTTACGGCCGCAGCCCGACCGTGACCTGCCGCCGCCGGCGCTTCCGCCTGCGGCTGTTAAAAAAAAAAGAATAAAAAAAATATCCCCACCTCGGATCGTACCGCGCCCCGGACGTTGTGCCCGCTCCCTGTCCGTCGCCTTGGAGCCGCGAACCAAAAAAAACAAATATCCCCACCTCGGGCCGGGCGGGCGCGTCCCCCGCCCTCGGCCTTCGGGGCACGCTTCCTTGCGCTTCCCTCGCAGGGCGCCCCCGTGGTGCCCCTCCGCGGGGGTGGTCAGTCGCGCCTTCTGTCGCGTCTCCCCACCGCCCCCCCTCCGGGCCCCCTTCTGGCCGGGCTTCGCCAGGCGTTCCGGCTGGCCTCGATGGCTTCGCCCCCTCTCCCCAGGGCCGCCCTGGACCCCCGCTGTCCGTGGCAACGTTTCCTCACCTTCAGCGGCGGTTAGCTGCGACCCTGGAGGCCCACGTGGTATGGTGGATTGACGGTGACCCTGGATTTCCGCGGGGAATGGCGGACGCGGCGGACAAGGCCGTCCCATGGTGGCCTTCGGCACCACGCGGCTGCGACAGCGAAGCTTCACCCCGGACGCCCCGCCTTGCTGGCAATGGTCTTCCCACCAGCTTGGCCTTACGCCGCACACGGCCCCTGGAGGTACAGCCAGCTCTGAATGGTTCAGCCTTCGCATTTCGGCCGCCCAGAACCCCCGCTGACAGCGGTAACTTTACCTCACTTTCAGCGGCGGTAAGCTGCGACCCTGGACGCTCGCGTGGAATGACGGATTCGACGGAGACCCTGGTTCCCTGCGGGGAATGGCGGATTCGGCGGATAAGGCAATCCCACAGCGACTTTCGGCGTACATCAGGCGGCAGCTGCCGTGCCCTCAGTGCAGCCCCTCCCTGGATCCCCCTGCCTCGCTGGCGATGCTCACCACTCCTGCCTGGCTTTCTCCTACAGTCTATCTGGCCTCGGCTCTGTGCCGTTGTTGGAGGGGCCGGCCCACTGACGTCCGGGCCTCCCTCGGGCACTGGATGATGGCCCCTTGGGTACTGTGGTCGCGCCGGAGTGGTTTAGCCTTCTGCAGTCGCAACAGCACCCTGGACTCATCCCCCTCTTCAGGCAGGATTGCGACGTCCCTCGGCAGCTCAGCTCCCCTAGCCCGCACATGCCGTTGGGACGGCCGTGGGCCTGGCGCCCCACTGGCGACTCGCCCATCGGTCTTCGCGCCTGTGCGCCCACCCAGCATGATGGACACGTCGGCACCAGTGCACGTCGACGCCGTCTGTGTGGGTTATGCCTCACGGCATGCACCGAATTTCTCGGCATTTTGTCAGACTGCACGTGCCTGAGCTTCCCTGGATGCCCCCAGCTGTCAGCCTCCCGCACAGCCCCGCTGCTGCTTGGTGAGTGGGCCGGCCGGCTTGCGGCGCGTTTTGTAGCTAATTAGCCTTGTTCGCAGCCCCGGACAACTGCTTTCGCCGCCTGCGCTCTTCGCTCGCGGCCGCGACCAAAAAAATATCCCCACCAGCCCATCCAGAAACGATGCCAATGAGAGTTGACGGGGGGAGAAAGGACGAGACACGCATAGTCAAACAGCGAGGAAGGCTTGGGAGGTTCCGTGGTCATCTCGAGCCGTCTTAAAGCGGTCCTCACCCCCCTCCGACCCCATCGATCCCCTCGCCTCCGTTGTCCTGCCCTTCCCACTCCCCACCCTTCGCCCTCCCCTCCCCCTCCTCGTCCCCGTCCCCGTCCCCCTCCCCATCCCACCTCCCCCCCCCTCCCCCTCCACAATTACTCAATATGAATACTACTCTCCCTCTTCCCCTGATGGCGTGCTGGGAGTGGCCGACCCCCCCCTGCGTACTGTTTTTTTACACACAGGATTCCCGGGAGTTGGGTTTTCGCCTGCGTTTGTTTGTCAAAATGCTGCTCTCGCTGAGGCGCCGGCCTCATTTCTGCTCCCGAATCGTTCCGAATCGTGCTCCCGCTGCAGCGTGGGCCTCATTTTCGGATCGGTGTTTGGCCTCCGTCGTTCAGGATGGCGTTCTCGCCCCAGCGCGGGCCTCTTTCTCGCGCGCCCATCCGCCCGCCACCACCGCGCCGCACCACCACCACCACCAGCACCAGCACCAGCACCAGCACCAGCACCAGCACCAGCCAGCACCAGCACCAGCACCAGCACCAGCACCAGCACCAGCACCAGCACCACACCAGCACCAGCACCAGCACCAGCACCAGCACCAGCACCACCACCACAACCACGCACACACGCACGCACGCACGCACGCGCACCACCACCCACTACGCACGCGCGCGCGGAGCCACAGGTCCGCTACGACACGCGTCCGCGGATAGAGAAAATCAGCGCCATGGTAAGGGATGGGAGGGAGAGGTAGGACGTCAGATATGACGCGAGCGCACCTAGCTTGCCCTCCCCCCCTCCCCCTTCCCCCTCCCCTTCCCCCTCCCCCTCCCGCCTCTCCCTTCACAATTGCACAAGAGGAATACTGCTCTCCTCTCTCTCCCCTGACGACGTCCGGAAGATGGTCGGCCCCCTCTGCGTACTGCTCTTTTGCACACAGGATTCCCGGGAATTGGGTTTTCGCTTCGGCTTGCTTCCAAAATGTTGCTCCCGCTGAAGCGCAGGCCTCATTTTCGGCCGTCCGCTCGTTCCGAATCGTGCTCCCGCTGCAGCGCTGGCCTCATTTTCGCGCCTCCGCTCGTTCCGATATCGTGCTCCCGCTGCAGCGCTGGCCTCATTTCCTGGTTTACATATGAGTTGTTTGGCAATCCGATGGTCGTTCAAAATGTTGCTCCCGCAGCAACGCTGGCCCCATTTCTGCTCTTCATGTTGCTCCAAAACGTGTTCCCGCTGCATCGCGGGCGTTTTCGGTCCTTCCAAATAGGCCCCAAATCTAAAGGAATATCCCCCAAAAAACATCGCAAGTGATTACGCATCCAGTGCCGATTCGTTGAGTTTTTGGGCCGCAGAAGGCCCCACAAGCGGGAGCCCAGTTTCTGCTTTCAGAAGGCGGTGTTGCTAGCAGAGCCAGCGTGTGCTCTCCATCAGCCCCGCCTTGTGGGGAGCTTTTCGCGGAGCCCAGGGAGCTAAACATGGAGCCGCGACTCCAGACCAGCCCAGACCTTTCGAAGACTATCCACTTACCTTACCCTCCAAGGAATCCTGTGACCTGCCATGACATGCTATGCCGTGTTCTGTTCTGCGCCGCTGTGCGATGCCATGCTTTGCGTTGCAATGCTATGTGATGCAATGCTTCACTACGCAATGCCACGCCATGCTATGACACTATATGCTCTGCCGTGCTCTTTTACGCCATGCCATGCCGTGCTCTACGATGCATCGCGCGCCGTCTCGCGATCATTGCCCTGCTCGACATCCAACTGTCCGAATCGAGAGAAGATCTACGCCATGGTAAGGGATGGGAGGGAGGGGTTGGACGTCAGATATGACGCGAGCGCACCTAGCTTGCGCTCCCTCCCCATCCCCCTCTCCACCTGCCCCTGCCCCTGCCCCATCCCCCCTCCGCCATCCCCTCCCCCCGCCTCCCCCCCCGCCTCCCCTCCCCCTCCCCTGCCTCCCCCCCCGCTGCCCCCCCCCTCCCCCCCTCCTCCCGCTGCCCCCCCCCCGCTTCCCTCCTTACCCCTCCCCTGACTCCTGCGCCTCCTCGCCGCCTCCTCCCGGACTCCCGCGCCTCCCTCCCTGCCCCTCCCCTCGCAGCTTCCCTCCCTGCCCCCCCTTCGGGTGCTGCCAGAAGTGCCCCTGGCCCCAGGTGCCCCCCCAGCTTTTCGCTCCATTTTTGAGCCCCTGGGGCCCTCTGGGCCTCGTGAGGGGGGGGCCCTGAAGGCCGTCGGGGCCACCTCGAGCATCCTCGGGCTACCGTGGACCAGGGGCACTTCTGGCCACACGCACTCCCCCCCCTCTCCCTAACCCCTCCCCCGCCCCGCACTCCCCCGCGCCTCCCGGGAGCCCGATGGCGGACCTGTACTCCGGGCCCCGGTCCTGGGCGCGCCCGGGGCCGGAGGCGTGCGCGAGACCGCCCCGCCCCGCCCCGCCCCCCCCCCGCCCTCGGCCCTCCACTCGCGCCCGCTGACGCCGCGCGCCAGCGTCGCCAGCCAGCGAAGGAGAGCACGAGGAGCAAGACGAAGCCAGCGAGGACGAGGACAACGTCGGAGGGGGAGGTGGGGGTCGAGAATCTTTGGGAGCCGGCGGCTCCAGAGGTCTCGGGCGCCGCGGCCTTCCCAGAGCGTTTCGGAACGCTCTGGAACGGATTCATCCTCGTCCCAGCCCCGTCCGACGAGGGCAGCAGTCAGAGCCAGCAGCGAACATACAAACACACACGCACGCACGCACACACCTTTGTGGGCTCCCCTGACCAGCTGACTCGAGGCAGCGAGTGCTGGGGCAGGGCACGCAAATATTGATTAACGCCGAGCGTCTGTCAGTGGCTGGTCGGGACATAAGAAACGAAGCTGATGCGTGCAGGAAAAAGGGGGCCGTAGCCAATGCACGTGAAAAAACAAAGCACACACACCACGTGTCGACATCCGACTTTCAGTGGTGCCCCCTCCTCCTCCTCCTCCTCCTCCTCCTCCTCCTCCTCCTCCTCGCACGTAGCTCGGATGAAGTGTCGTATGCCTTAGTCCATCTCTCGCATCTGTTGCACCATCTGCGCTCTGGCAGCGCGGGCATGACTTGTAATCTCTGCATCGTCAACCGTCCCCCCCCAGTCCCTTAACTGAATTATACATATAAAAGGCAAGTACCAGTCTCTGCAGGGCCATGGCTCTCCTCTCGGCAGACAGGGAGCGAGCCAGACCAAGTCGAGCATCCAAAAAACCTTCGACTGGTACTTCAGGGTGCCACGCAATAGATATGGCAGCCCACAAAGCTGGGCACATGAGATAGTGGGACTGGGAGTCAACGGCATCCGTGCACCCGAATTTGCAGGGCACATCAGTCTGGGTCATCCTCCGCTCCGTCGTCCACCCACCCACCACCGTTTTGAGAACTGATGCCTGCCATGCGGGTGGGAGCTCGGCAACTGCGTCTCTCATCGCAGGCCAGTCACATCCCGCTAGCGCACGCTTCGATGGGGGGCAGGAGGCCCACTTCCCCAGGCGCCTGAAAATGGTAGGGGCCAGATTTTCCTGAAAAAGTGAGCTAGCCAGCGATCGGGCCAGCGTCTTTTGAACAGGAGCCCCAGGATTCTCCGACAGCGCTTCCTTCAAAGATTTGAACGCTGCAGCCATCGGAGCCCGCCAGCGGGCAGAGCCAGGAAAACCCGCAGCAGCCTCTGCCAGCACCTGGGCAATCGGGGCATTCTTCCAGAAGGCTGGGCTCCACGAGCCACCAAGGTACTGGGTCATCGGGAGAGCCCTTTCGGCCTCAGCACGAATTTTCGCCCACAAGGGCTTCCAGATGGTGACTGTGACGCGGGCAGATCTGACCAGGGCAGCAGCGCATTGGACGCGTGTCGAGAGGGGCCTGAGCTTACTCCACTGCCTAAGGGCTAAAAGCTGGTCTAGCGGCCAAGAGACAGGGGGCATCCTCGAAACCTCATGGAGGGCCCAGGATTCCCACTTTAAAATGGACTCAGGGATCGGATACAACTGCGCCAGATATCCAAATTTCGTGACAGCCCTACTATTGCACATGGAGATCATGATCGATGGCGGGGCAGTGGTCTCAGCAAGGCTTCGTATGACACCCACCCACTCCCGAAACGCCCTCGCCCACACCTCCTCCTTCGCCTCAGGACCAAGCCACACGCCTAAATACTCTGCACTTCCCACAATAGGGATGCCGCCCCACCTCGGGGCAATCCCCGCCAGGGCAGCTGCTACCTGGGCTCTGAGCTCCTCACTAGAGGCTTGGTGGACAGGCGCCAGCTTACACTTTGGGACCTTGAGTTTTAATCCTGCCAAAAACTCAGCCGCATAAAAAAACGAGAGACGCGCAAGAGCCTGAAGGTCACCCACAAGAGCCCCCACGTCATCCGCACACACCCCCACCTCCGACCCAGGGTGTTTCTTCAGTCTTTTGCGCATGTCTCTAATCAGGGGGGTCCATTATTAGAGCCCAGAGCGATCCTGAGTCAGGAGCACCCTGCATGATACCTGAAGAGATGATGCAAAACGTCTGGAGAGAGCCTAGCAGGGGAATCTTAGCGGCCGCAAACGTGTATGTCGCTTGGGCCAAGCTCAGAAAGCCTCCTGGGAGAGCTGATTTCGCAAGCACGGCCCACAGGAACTGGCGGAGAAGAGAGGGGAAGGCGTTGCCAAAGTCGAGGAAGAGGAGGGAGGGCGTTCTGCTCGCAGCTTCAGGGCGCATCCCAGATATGCGCGCTTCGGAATCCAGGAGCACTACATTGTCCAGGAAGTTCCTGCCATGCAGGAACCCTCTCTGATCCCTGTGGGCTTGTGCAGCAATCGTGCCTTTCATACGGTGATTGCATGCTGATGCTATGATCTCTACATCAGTGTTCTTCAAAGCAAGAGGGCGTGTGTTCTGCGGGGATCTCACGACAAAGGTACTATCCCGCTCTTCACGGCCCTTTGGAGCAAAACTGAGGAGGAGGTCGCTAGGGGAAACAGGGGGGGGGGGGGGGGGAACCAGCGAGTAACTCGAGCATAAGCTCATATAGTATTTCTTCCGAAAGCGAAGACTGCTGCCATGCTGCATACGGAAGACCATCAGGCCCAGGAGCCGTGGGTCTCGCGCCATGGATCGCGTGCTCTATCGACCCCATCGATGGCGGTGCAGCCAATGACCAGTCAAAGACATGCACATGCTTGTCAAGGCACTGGTCAAGATGCCTCTGCGACGTCGAGCGAGGGGCAAAAGCAGTGGCCCAGTGAGACCGAAGGGCAGACGTCATCTCCGAAGAGGACACAAGGGCCACCTCACGCGCAGGGTCGACCACAGCCTGCAGCGGCAACGTTTTACCCTTCGGAGCCCACATTTTGGCACGCCTCCTCTCAGCTCTGACGTGCGCTCGAATTCTTTTCGTGCCAGCATAGACAGGGGAGTCCTTCAGAGCAGTTTCAGCGCGGTTCACACGGTCCTCAACAAGATCACGCTGAAGCTGCTCGCGCTGCCTCCTAAAGTTTATTGGCCAGGAGAGCGAGACGGTATTGCCCCCCGAAATCTCCAACAACTCCGACGCAACCGTCGTGGTCGCAAGGAGGGTCCGTGCCAGATTCGAGGTTAAAATGAACAGCCCTCGAAATCGATCTGAAAATGATCATCTTGGCTTCCAACGGGGGCGTTTTAGCACTCACAAGCTTGTTTCTGGTCAGTCGGGCCGCTTCTCTCAGCAGGCGTTTGTACTCGGCCCACTTCGCAATCGTCGGCAGTTTCAACAAATCCGAATGCTGCAGGAGGAGATTGAGATTCTGTTTGTACTCAGGGGCCTGACATACGAAGCGCGGCACCGCCTGGTCCTCCACCGCCTTCTGCGGTCGCGAGCCGAAGGTGATGCACAACGGCGCATGATCAGATACCCCCTGCTTGAAGAGGTCCTCAGGATACTGCATGACCGTGGCGCCGATCGACCAGTGTAGTAGCAACCATCCTGGTGTGCTTATCATCACTTTGTCAAGCTGAGAGAGTCGTTGATCATCATGAATGTAGTGCGTCGGCGCCTCAGGGTCTAACTCCGTCATCTCGCTCAAAGCGACCGCCCATATATCAGCATGCCCCCTATGCCTCGGAGGGATGATCAGCCCCTTGTCGATCTCTGGCACATGCAGGTGCATCGGGGCCGTCTCCGTGTAGTTGAAGTCACCCATGGCAACCACAGTCATCTTATGCGGCTGCAGTGCCGCTTGCTCCGCCCCCGCCGAGATACGAGCCGAAATAGAAGATGCCTGCTGAGCCGTGAGACCAAAGTTATGCACATTATATATCACCAGCATAGTGCCAGGACGCTCATCATCTGCACGGGCCTTGATCGCCACCCTCAATACCCTGCCAGGGACCAGCTCAGAAACTCGGATTCGTTCCTCCCGGACCGCATCATCAGCCTCCGCCTGTGTCATCTGCGGTAACAGCGTGACCACCCCACCAGCATCATGCGAGTGCAGTGAGGAGAAGCACGCCGCCTTGATCTGGAGGTCGTAGAGGAGCCTGAGCATGTCTGGCCGAGACCCGTGCACCTCTTGTAACGCCACAACTCCAGCACCTCTGCAGAACAGTTTGAGCTTGGCAGCCTTCTTACGCCGAACGTCTGACTTGTGGTGGAGGAGAGCACGGGTGTTCCACGTCACAAACTTGATCTCCTGCAGCGGCCGCTCACGAATCTTTTCATGCCATGTGTTCAGCGTCCTGCTAAATTTGCCACTGTACCCTCTCCTCCGTGTGGAACTTGTTATTGAACGCAGCCGTGAGCTCATCCTTATTGACGGAGTGCTTTTGAACGAGGGAGTAGTTCCATAGAAGACGTGTGCTATCATCTCTCTCATTCCCAACCTGTACCTGCACGCAAGGGGAACCATCCAGGAACACAACTCCACGTTGGCGATCATGCCTCGTCCGAAGGCTTGGAAATTGTTCTCGCGCCGCAACAGCCATTGCTTTTGTTTGAATCTCTCTACGTACTTGCTTCGGAGATTTGTCCATTCCCACAAAGACTCTCGATTCGCCCCCTTCAATCGTGTTGACCGAGAATTGTTTCCATGCTCCCGTGTTGTCTTCGAGAGCCCTTCTTGCAGCCTGCGCTCTCCTGGTAGCCGAATTGATATCACCTTTGAATTGAATGATGAATCGTCTTGATGGGATCGGGCCAAGCAGCTTCCAGTCATCATCAGTAATTTTAGCTTCACTGAGCCACGGCGCCAGAACACTACATAGCACTTCCCGGTCCACATTGGCTGTGGTGTTCGCGACCAGGATGCCCGTGTCTGGCGGCCTGTCCCACTCCACATGTCCGTCCAAGTCCTTGACCGTGATAATTGATTCCGCCACATATAGAGCCTCCCGCATCTTTTCCAGTTGCTCCGAGAAGGCCAGCTGCTGCTTCTCCGTCGAGGCGATCCTCTGCTGCATCTCGTTGATCTCGCCGCGCAACTGGATGTTGACCTTCTCCTGACGTACCGCCACGGCGCGCACCAAGCCCTCTGTGTGATCAGTGACGTCCTTGACCACAGCGCCGCGGATGGAGTTGAACTTTGCGTCGATCGTGGCGGCCACCTCCCTCTTGTACGCTTCGAAGTAGTCGTCAAGATCTGCTTGAGCAATCGGCTGGGAGGAAGTGCCTGTGGTCGCGGGGGGCGTAGCAGTCCCACTTGTGGCTTCAGCAGCGGCAGGGACACTCCGAGAGTTCGCTCCTGCAGCAGCAGCCCATGGGTCTCCAGCGCCCGCCAGAGGGTCAGCAATACCCCCTTCACCAGGACCGCCATCGCCACGGCTACCACGAACGCGGTCGCCTCTGGCCTCCTGCGGTGAGCGCGAGCGGATGGGGGCACCACCCGCAGGCCCATCAGGCATACGCGCGGCGCCAGGCGGGGCGCGCGCTGGCGGAAATGCGGGCCAGAACGGCGTTGTGAAGTAGGTGGAATGAGTGCAGCTGCCTACAGGGGGAGGCAGCAGAGAAAGAAGAAGCAGGGCCCAGGACGCTCGAGAGCGGGCGACGGATGGGCCAAAGCTAATCAGAGTCAGCTATGTTACTTTAGCGTCCTCCGTTTAGCCTTGAGCCAAAATGGCTACGGACCTCCTTCTCCTCCTCCTCCTCCTCCTCCTCCTCCTCCTCCTCCTCCTCCTCCTCTTCCTCCTCATCTTCCCATGCCGAGAATACCGGTGTTCCTGCATGCGTGCCTTCATTGCCATACTACGAATCCCCAGAAACGTCGTTAGCATCTGGTCTTCCACCCCAGAGGGCGATGCAAGCAAAGATGTGCACGCAGAGCACTGTAAGCCCTCTCACCAATACGATACAAAACGGGCCTACGAGACCATTTTTTTTTTGAATTTCGAATCGAGGATAACTCGGGTTATCCGGGGAGAGGGGGGAGGGGGGGGATGGCCGATAACCTAACCTTCGCGCTGTGGGCAGCCCTGCATATGCCCAAGCGCACAGGTGCTGCGGCCCCTACAGCTGCTGACGATGCTGCTGCGATGCTACTAGTATTGGTGCTGCAACGATGCGGGCGCCGTCTGATAATGCCTGAGGATGTCTGGACAACTCGCATTGGAATACGCGGGATATGGTTGCTAAGCGTTGCTGGGCCGGGATGTGGGTAACCCGTCCCGGCCCGCTGTGCATGCTGAATGTTGTGGGTGTGCGTCGTCCATCTCGGAATTTGCACCCAAATAGAGTCAGCACGGTTCGCTGGAGAGCCGACTGCACGTGCTGTGAACGCCGGGCGTGGCAGAAGCATGGCAGGTTACGGCACCATCCCGTCAGCCCTTCAGGGCACGAGTGGTTTAGAGCGCTTCCTCTTCCATGAAGCCGAGCGGAGGGGCTCCCACCCAACCACCCGAGCCTGGCCCTTGCTGTCCTACACCACGTAACCGAAAAAGCATACGGCGGTTGGGGAAATGTGAGAGAAGGAGCATGAAAGGGAGGAGGAGGAGGAGGAGGAGGAGGAGGAGGAGGAGGAGGAGGAGGAGCAGGAGGACAGGGGGAGGAGGAGGAGGAGGAGGAGGAGGAGGAGGAGGAGGAGGAGGAGGAGGAGGAGGAGATGGAGGAGAAGGAGGAGGAGGAGGAGGCGGAGGAGGAGGAGGAGGAGGAAGGGCAGGAGAAGGAGGAGGAGGAGACAGTCTGGGCCACCAGTGCCAGCACGATGGGTAGCGGCAAGATGCGCCGCCAGCGACTCCGGCGTCTCGCTGGTCTATCCCCGCGGGCTCTCTCGAGTGCCTCCCCTCGGCCGACGGGCTCTCACGCCGACCAGCCCACATCAGCGCTGGACCTCTCAACAGAGCCAGCTCGAGAAGAGTTACCCAACCCCCCCCGCCTCGAGAGAACCTCTCTGTGGGGGCCCTGCGGTGGTGCGGGCTGGGTCGAACCGAACCCGTCGACAGATGACGAGGACGATGACGATAACGATGATGATGGTGATAGGATGATGACGGTGTTGATGATGGGACGATGATGGTGATGATGATACTGCTGATGATGATGTTGTTGATGATGGTGATGGTGGTGATGATGACGACGATGATGATGCTGACGATGGTGATGCTGATGATGATGGTGATGATAACGGTGATGGTGATGGTGATGATGATGATAAGATGATGATGATGATGATGATGATGATGATGATGATGATGATGATGATGATGATGGTGATGATGCTGATGATGATGATGACGATGATGGTGGTGATGATGATTCGGATTGTGGTGATTATGATAATACTACGAAGAAGAATATTGAGATGCGGACGATGATGATGATGATGATGACAGTGATGGTGTTGGTGATGATGATGATGATGATGATGATGATGATGATGATGATGATGATGATGATGATGATGATGGTGGTGATGATGATGATGATGACGAGGAGGAGGACCATGATGATGACGATGATGATGACGACGATGACGATGACGGCCAACGCCAAGGACAGTGTGACCCCATCCTGCGGGTCGTGGCGGCCGGCGCGCGACGAAGCCGCGTAGTCCAGGAGCACCTTCCCGATCTCGCCAACCTGCCCTCTAGGGGGGCTGAGGGGTTGCAGGCGAGGAGAGGGAGGACGAGCGTACCACGACGACGACGACGTCCACTCCACTGGCGGGCGCCTCCTCGGGCTTGGTCAGCCTGAGGTCGCGGAGCGCAGCTGAAGCTGCGTCAAGACTGACTGGGGGACGGGAGAGGAGGGAGGAGGACGAGCGAAGGAAGGGGGAAAAGGGAGGGGGAAATGATGCTGGCGCATTGCGCAGCCTCAAGGGTGGTTTGGGTTCCTGAACATGGTCGGGAGGCCAGCCCACCGACGGCCAGAGGAAGCCTTGTCGATCACATCTAGAGACATGTGGTGGAAACTGTCATGAAAGGGGCAGTGTGGAGAAGAGCGGGAAGGGCGGAGGAGGAATGGAGAGCGTGGGACTCGGGAGGGGGAGAACAGGAGGGAGGAGAGGAGGGCAGGAACGAGGCCCGGGAGACCGTCGGCAGAGAGAGGGCCGCCGACGGAGGAAGCCGAGCCCGAGGCGAGCTTCATCGGCCGCGGGTGGTGCGACCGTGCGCCCGCTCCCTCCTCCTGCCCACCGGTGGGGGGGCGAGCAGGCGGGCGCGCCGGGAGGAACGGGAGAGGGAAACAATTAGTGAACACCCCCCCTGCCCTCCAAACTCAAAGTTGGCACGCGCGCGGGAGACTACGGTCGAGGTGCACTTCATCAGACCCACCGGCAACGAGGGGGAAGCGTTGGCAGATGAATGTGGCAACAGTGTTCGCAATTTTTTCCGAGGCCTGAGTGGAACCGTCAGCAGGTTCCTACCCCCATGCTGCAGAGCAGAAAATCCACACCGAGAATAACCACCCCGACACGCGAAGCCGTTTAGCAAACGCGCCTGAAGAAGGCAAGGCTGTTCAGTAAACGCCCAGGGCCGTTTGTAAACGCCAATTATCTGGTCCGGGTGGTTTTTCCTCCCTTGACATGCGGAAGGCACGACGGGGAGCCAGGCGGAACGAGGGGCCCCCACAGTCACGTGAACGTTCTTGTCGGTGGGGTGAAGTTGTGGGTCGCGTGCCGGCATATTGGACGCGTCTTGGGGCAGACGGCATTCGCTGAGAGCGCCTGGAGAGCGCACAGGATCGCTCGCGCTCGGGCTCCCACCCGAGCCTGCGAACGCGCACGCGCGCGCGCACGCGCACACGCGCAGGTACACGCGGACGCACACGCACACGCACACGCACGCTCGCGCACTCGCACGCTCACGCACACGCTCACGTGCTCAAGATCGGGCTCGGGCTCGGGCTCGGGACCGGGGTCGGGCTCGCGCTCGCTCAGGCACGCGCGCGAACGCGCACGCTCACGCACACGCGCCCGCGAACTGCCCCTGTTTGAGAGCGAGGCGTAATTAGAATGCTAGGACCCCCACCCCTGGGCTCCGTCCCATCCCCCTCCTCCCGCCCTACTGATACTCGTGAAGTCCTGAACTGGGTGAGGCTCCAGCGAGCAATTCTGACGAAGGACAGTGGCTCCAGCAGATCATGCCGACAAGAAGGGTGAGCTCCATAGATGCATTTTTACCGAGCGCGAGCGTTCTAGCAACCAACGGCCTGGGTTCCAGCACTCAGGCTGAAAGCGTCTCTTTGTTTTTCGCGATAGCGGCCGTCACCGGCCTGGCCGCCCCCCCTCCCTCCCCCCCAGGGTAGCGTGCTGCGGGTTGCTACTGATCCTTCCTCTGCTGCTTCTTCTCGCCCTTCCCTCTGCGACACATCTGGCCTTGCTCTCTGGGACGCTCATGCCCACGACCTCAGTGTGGCCCATCTGGCCGTAGTCTGGAGCCTGCGCTGGAAAGGTTCGCTGTAGAATTCACTGACTGCTTGCGCTATCAAAGCTGGTGACTACCACATTCGCAGCCGAATATTTGGAAAGTAAATGACAGCCAGCGTGCACCCCAAATAGTGAATCATTGCACTGTGGGAGGGGACGCTATGAGTACGCTATGCAACGTGGGCTATATGATGTGAGCTCTGCTGTGTATGCTATGTGGTGTGAGCCATGTGGTGTGAGCTATGTGGTGTTAGCTATGTCGTGTGATCAATGCGGTTAACAATACATAGCCATGTGGTGTGAGCTATACGGTCTGAGTCATGCGGTGTAAACTATGCGGCTTGCGCTGTGTTGAGCAAGTCATGCGGTGTGAGCTATGTGGTGTGATCTATGCGGTGCGAGCTATGTAATGTAAGCTATGTCGTGTAAGCTATGCGGTATACGCTACAGTATGTGGTGTGAGCTATGCTGTGTGAGCTATGTAGTGTACACCTGGTGGTGAAATCTATGCGGCTCAAACTACAGGCCTCGGAAACATAGAAAACACTCATGCCACATTCATCTGTCAGTGCCCCCATCCATGATCAATGTTGTCGTGGGTTGAATGAGTTGCGCTTCGACCGAATTCTTCCCCTCGCGTGCCAACTTTGAATTTGGGGTAAAAGGCGAGTGTCCACTAGTTGTTTCCCTCTACTGTATGCAGTTTTCGCTATGCAGTGTAAGCTATGCGGTGCAAGCTGTGTGGTGTAAGACACGTAGTGTCAGGTATGTTGTGTCAGCTATGTTGCGTGAGCTATGCGATGTAAGCTATGTGGTGTGAGCGATGTTGCCGAGGCCATGCGGTGTGAGCTGTGTGGTGTGATATATGAGCAGCTGTGACCTGTGAGGTGTGAGCTGTGTTGTGTCAGCTATGCGGTGTACGCTATGTGGTGTGAGCCATGTTGTGTCTGCTATGTGGCGTGAGAACTATGCTGTAAAGATCTGTGTTGTAAGCTATGTGGTATGAGCTATGTGGTGTGAGGTATGCGCGCAAACTGTGGTGTATAGGTATGTTGTGTAAGATGTCTAGTGTGAACTACGTGTATATAATGTGAGCTATGCGGTGCAAGCTGTCTGGTGTAAGCCATGGTGTGGAAGCTATGTTGTGTGTGCTATGAGGCGATGTGAGCTATGCTGTGCAAACTATGTGACGTGAACTAGGTGGTTTGTGAGCCATGCGGCGCAAGCAGTCCGGCGCCCACGAGCGGGCAGGGGCGGGAACATGGCGAAACCCCCGGAAACCAACCCTGCTTACGGGGTGCCCACGAGACGCGCCCACGAGCGGGCACAGGCAGGAAGGCAGGAACGTGGCGAAACCCAGGAAACCCATCCAACTACTTTCAAAGACACCGAAGACAGAACTCCTAAGTGCAAGCGCTGTTAGGGGGAAAAAACAACACATGGATGCCACATTTTGCCAAATCGCGTCATTCCCAACGTTTGCTGGTAACGAAGAGCGCTTCCCCGGCATTCTCGGGACAGGGGGGGGGGCGTCAGAGGCATGGCGCGAATGAGGGCGTCAGACTGGAAGCATCGCGCGAAGAACAAGGAGACGGCGTGGAGATCTGCACACGCGCGCGTGCGGCCAGAGATCGGGTGGGCGCCGCAGCGCCGTCTTCAGCACGTCGCCACGGGCAGCGAATGCGGCAGATGCTGCGCAAAGGGAGCGCAACGAATGCGTGCGACGCTCGGGTCACGACCCCCCCACCAGAGGGTCGCGCTCCTTGCCCCGGGGGGGAGGCGGGGGGGGGAGGAGCAGCAAGAGCGGGGCACGCAGCGAAGTGCACAGCGCGGCCAGCGACGGCCAGACGGCGAGGGCAGCGCCGCGCGGTCGGGGGGGGGGAGGGGCGCAGGGGGCGATCACGGGCGGCATCGCCCCGATGAACAAACGAACGGGCTTCATCGTCTATCGTCGGCGGTGCGCACAAAGGGGGTGGGGGGAGGGGGGAGGGCCTCTTAGAAGGAGGCTGCTTCTTAGAAGGCGCTGGCCTTACATCTATAGATAAAGGCCCGCGCCTGCTAAGAAGCAGGGGTGCTTCCAAAAAGCCCTTCCCCCTCCCCCCCCACCCACCCCCCTCTGCGCGTGGCTGCTGCCTCCCCCGCCCCGCCGCGGCCAAACTGTCGGCCTCCGCCCCCCACCGCGGTGCTGACAGCTGGCCGCCGACCGGCGCCCTCGCTGGCAGACCTCGCCCGCCCCCCGCGCGCAGAGGCCAAGGGGGGGGCGGCGGGGGCCAGAGGGCGGAGGCCCGAAGCGTCGAGGCCGAAAAAATGCGGACCGAAAGGCGCGGCCGAGGCGTCGGGCGACGTGCAGTGGACACGTCCAACAGGACAGGGCTGGACCTAGACGTTGTTTTTCGTTTTTGTTCGTTGTGTGTGTGTGTGTTCGTTTTGCTCGACCTGTTGTCCTGTACCTCCCTCCCAAAACGAAAAACAAAACACAGCCGAAAGCCAACAAAACAGCGTTTAGGTCCAGCCCTGCAACAGGAGATCCGGACATGAGTAATGTGAGCGCAGAGTCGTCGTCGATCTTTGAAGGCCCTGCGGTGCCCCAGAGCTCCTGTGGGTCCCTGGGGCCAGCGGGGGTACGAAATTTCCGCGGGCACCTGCCGGCAAATCGATTTCTGACTTGAGCTGTCTACTGTATAAATATATAAGTATGGCCCGTGCGTGCCCGCTCGCACGCGGCCAACCCGTCTGGTCGGTGGCTGGCTTGTTCTAGGCCGCACTTCACGTCGGTTTGCTCTTGGTCGGCGCACTTTTACGCCGGCATTTCGGCCTGCGCTTCTGTGTCCCGACACTGCGGGTTAGGGGCAACATTTCGGCAATCGTAGAACCGTGTGGTGAAGCTCGAGGAACTTGATACCGCAGCACACAGTGCTCCAACACATATTAAGGAAGTGGGCCCAGGCTGGTTAGGTTACACGCTACTCGATATCCCCTACCTTCCAACTACTCCTTGACACTTTATTCATCCCTACTCGCAAGTCGCCGCCCATCGCTGCTTGTATCCTGCGCGTTGCTCACTGCCCGCCTTTTCTCCCAACGCGCACTTCGGTACTCATTATCTTCACCTTGGCGCCGAGTCTTCCTCACCAGTCACTGCGCTTTGAATTTTTTTGGCTGATAAATCCCTGAACCATAAACTTCGTGCATGCTGTATGCGCTGATCAACAAAACGATTGCGCTGTATTCACCACCCGCCAACCGCTTCGCGCTCCGTGCTATTCCTCTCCCCCTGGGCGCATGTCACCACCCACCGCTGTCTGCACCCCGATGGCTGCGATCTGCCCGCTACGTCCAAACTCAGGAGGAACTCCTCTTCACTCGTGGCCTACACCCTACACCCGACTCGCTGCTCGGTGCCACTTTTCCGTTCCGCCATGGTGTCATGCACTCGCTACTATAGCTGCGCTGTGCTCCCTCGTGGCAGCCTAGAGCTGATCGCGGTCTATTGAGAAGCGTAAACGGACAACAATGGCGCCAACTACCCGCAAGCCACACTCGAAACACACTCCTTGCCGCTCCTGGCCCCCTGTCCGCAACTTACCAACCACTTTTGCCTGCTCAGTACTCACGGCCCACTACTTCCCCCTGCTCAGTGCTCCCCGCCTACTGCATACTATCAGGGCAGAGTGAGGTACGAGCAGCGGCCTACCTCCTCGTTGCGAACTCCTCGCTGCCCTACATCGACATTCGTCTCCCACCGACTGACCCTCACACCCTACTCGAAAACTGAGGGAGGGGGGGAGGGGGGAGGAGCAAGGGAACAACCATCACGGGGGGCTCAAGGGGGCTCCTCTGCCGAGAGCTCACATGTCCTTGTCACGGACTGCTCATCCCCCCCTGTGCCCCCCCCCTCGAACGCCATCACCTGTTCAGCCTAGACCCTCCGCTCAATCGCGGTGGTTGTTCCATCGATACACTGGTTGGGCGATGGTCGACCGTCGCTGCTAAAGCAGTATGATTGACGATCAGTCGACTGAGACATGTTGGTGTCGCTCTTGCAAAACTTCGATTCGCTAACCAAATTAGATGAGCCTTCTGGGATGCAGGGATCTGTGGGAAAAAGCTGAGGAGAAGGCGATGACGCCGACGAGGACGCAGAGGAGGACCTCACTGCGGAGCATGAGCCGACCGCCTCCTCGTGACCTTCCCGTCCTCCCCGCTCCGCGCGGCGCCGAGAAGCGGTTGTGGTAGCAGACCTCCCCGGCAGGCCCGATGCTGGTGCCGCCAGCGTAGCCAGTGAGGGCCGTGATCTGCGTCCCCGAGCGGCCCAAGATCTTCGCCTGCGTCAACGCTGCGCCCCTGAACAGGCAGAAAAGACTAGAACGAAGACAGCATGGAGAAGAGTGGTCCTCTCGCGGTCGCTGGCTTTTCCGAACGCCCTGCTGGCTGTGTTCTGCACAACGGGCACCCCTCCAACAAGCCATTGACAACACAAACTGTACGTCAGTGTCGGCCACTGTCTGCCTGTCTGTCTGTCTGTCTGCCTGCCTGCCTGTCTGTCTGTCTGTCTGTCTGTCTGTCTGTCTGTCTGTCTGTCTGTCTGTCTGTCTGTCTGCCCGTGACCGTGGGCGCGCGTGCGCGCGCGCGCGTGCTCGTGCGCACGTCAGCGCGCTTGCCCGCGCCGCCACCTGCTTCGCTGCTGCTGAGCCGCTGGCCGTACGTGTTTGTGGCCCCGCCCGCCTGATTCTGCGTGCTTGCCTCGGCCTCCGTCCCCCGCTCGATCCACCTCGCTGACCGTCAACGTTTTACTGGCCTTCCTACCTGCCCTTGTCTTCCCTATCCCCCCAGGGACTCAAGCACATCTACGATCGAGCACTTCACCTCCTGAGCGAAGGAACCTCCAGCGCGCCGGTCGAAATCTTTGTTCGGTATGTTTTGCTGAAGGGGGATCGACGGGGGGGGACCGGCTCAGGGGGGGACTGGCTCAGGGACAGTGAACTGGAATCGGCGATGAATCGCCGATAGATCGGCGATGGACCCCCGGTAGCGGAACCGCACGTTCCTGGAGGGAGGGGGGGCTATCAGGCCCCTATCGGCGATGAATGGGCGATTGGGGGGTGATGCGCCCTCTCCTGGACCTGTCCTTTCTTGACGTTACCACCTGGCTTTCGGGCCAGCCATAACTCGGCTCTCTGGCGGCCGTTCGGGGTGATCCGGGCACCCCTGGAGCGCTCTCGGCGAGGCGCACCTGCTGGAACGTACCCCGAAGCTGGAAACCCGCCAGGAACCAACGAAGACACGCGAAAATCTCGACGATCGAACCTCCTGAGCCCATCCCCTCCTAGCATTGTCCCTGAGCTGTCGACCAGAACCCGTGCCCCTCGACGGAATCTCCGCTTAGGATGCCTTGCGCTCCGAATCGAAAGCATTTTGCTGTTTTTGCGACTGGCCCCGGCCGCCCACCCCCCAGGCAACGTCACGATTCGTGCTGAAGTCGTTGTTGTCTTTGGTCTTTCCCAGGCATGCCCAAACGGCGCCGGCGCGAACCGTGACGCTAACGGACCCCTCCCCCTCCCCCGCACCCCGGGCAACTCGATGATCCTCAGAATGTGCGTTAGCGCCGACGTGCGCTTGCCCGCCGACGCCCTTCAACGCGACGCAGGTGCTGCAATGCAATGCTGAGGGCCGACGCAGGCTGCGTGCCATCGGCGGAGCTGAGCGAGGGAAAACGCACATTGGGCCAACGCGCGCCCTTAGGATCGCCGAGGAACGCCCGCTATCGCCCCAGGAAAAAAAAAAACACGCTCTCTTGCAAGGGCGCCCACCTCCTGGTTCACCAGCTCGTTCTGGACGTGCCAGAAGCACCCCTGCCCGAAGTAGACGTCGATGTCCCCGGCCTCAGCGACGGCGGGCCTGGGCAGCACGCCGAGGACCTCCAGAGGCAGGGCTGGCGCACCAAAGGCCAGAGGGGAGGCGATGGGGAGATGTGGAGGGGATGCCTCCCTTCGTGCTGCTCATCGTCCTGTCTCCTGCCTTGCTCTTATGGTTCGGAGGCGCGGCTGGGCCTGGGACAGAAGGCCATCCTTCAAGAACTTTGGGCCCTCCGCCGAACAAGCCACCCCAAACCCTAAGATCACTCGAGGGTGCCCTCCCCCAGGATGCACAAGAACATGCGAGGAACACGAAAAACATCAGGGCCGCATAATTTGACTACGGCGGCGTCCGTCTGGATGAACCCGCCGGCGTAGCAGGAGCTACGGTCCCAATGGGGCCACTGCGACCGGCACGTGGTCGTTGTGGGCGCACCTCTGCTGGTGGACGAGGCCGTCCAGCGCGGCTCCCCACCTGAAGATGTCACCGTCGTGCTTCCTCAGGCGGCACGTTCCCATCGGCCAGAAGAGCCTCCTCTGCAGTGCGTCCTGGGGCTGGGCACCCTCCTCGAGACGACCTCGATCTCATTACCTCGGTCCGGCCGTGCGGCGGATCTGGAGTCACGGGGGCCTCTTCTCGTGACACCACAGGAAGGAGGCAGAGGCAGAGCACCGCCTCTCTCGTGGGCGAGGAGGAGGAGGAGGAAGAGGAGCAGGAGGAGAAGAAGGGGGAGCAGGAGGAGGAGGAGGAGGAGGAGGAGCAGGAGGAGGACGAGAAGGAGGAGAAGGAGGAGGAGGAGTGGGAGGGGGAGGGGGAGGAGAAGGGGGAGGAGGGTATTGCCTGTCGGCATGCCTGTCTTCGCTCCCTTGATCATCGGTGCCTCTCCCATCGCTTGGTTTCCTTATCCTCCATTCCCTACCTAAGCTCTGCCCAGAAGGGTTCTTACTCGGTATGCTTAAAGGGCCGGCAGTGCAACTCGCCCCGGGTGGTTCCCCCAGTATCCCCGCCCCGCGGTTCCCCCAGTTACGTCCCCTTAGCTTGGCGTTGCTTATCTCATCTTAACTTAGCTTATTTCATCTTCGCTTCGCTTAGCTTCATCTTAGCTTAGCTCAGCCTAGCCTAGCTTAGCTTGGCTCAGCTTAGCTCAGCTTAGCGCAGCATTAGCATAGCATAGCATAGCATAGCATAGCATAGCATAGCATGGCGAAGCATATCATAGCGCAGCACAGCACAGCATAGCATAGCATAGCATAGCGCAGCATAGCATAGCATAGCATAGCGCAACATAGCACAGCGCAGCATAGCATATCATAGCATAGCATAGCATAGCATGGCATATCATAGCATAGTATAGCGCAGCGTAGCATAGCATAGCAAAACGCAGCATATCATGGCATAGCATAGCATAGCGCAGCATAGCACTGCATTGCATAACATAGCATAGCATAGCGCAGCATAGCATAACATAGCATAGTCTTGCATAGCATAGCATAGCGCAGCATAGCATAGTATTGCATGGCATAGCGCAGCATAGCATAACATAGTATAGCATAGCGCAGCATAGCATAGCATAGTCTAGCATAACATAGCGCAGCCTAGCATACCCTAGCATAGCGTAGCATAGCATAGCGCAACATCGCATACCCTGTCGGTGTAGATCTAGATGTTGCTTTTCTAAATGCTCCAATTCCTAGCTAGGGTCGCACTGGGATAAGTATTATCATTGGTACTGTATGTTCATTATTAGTGGTACGATTAATATTATGGTTAATCGTACTACTACGACTACTACTACTACTACTACTACTACTACTACGACCTACTAACTACTAACTACTAACTACTAACTACTAACTACTAACTACTAACTACTACTACTACTACGACTACGACTACTACTACTACTACTACTACTACTACTACTACCACTACTACTACTACTACTACTACTACTACTACTACTACTACTAATACTACTACTACTACCACAACCAACGCTACCACTACGACTAACACTACTACTACTACTACTACTACTACTTCGACTACTACTACTACTACTACTACTACTACTACTACTACTACTACTACTACTACGACTACCAGTGTTGTTATCTTTGTTGTTGTGGTGATCACTGTCATAAATCTTATCAGTTTGACTATGACGGTTATTCTTGCTACTCATGATATTGTTATGTTTGCTAAACTTTTTACGGTACATACTATCAATGTGACTAGCGTGACGATTATTCATCACTTTTCGATTATTCGAATATTCGTGTTATTGTCACGAGTTCTACTACGACTAATAATCATACTGCTGCTACTACTTCTACGTATACTTCTATATATATATATATATATAATTCGACTTGTGATTAAATTACTGCTACGACTACTACGACTACCACGACTACTACACTACTACTACTACTACTGCTGCTACTACTGCTACTACTACGACAACTACGACTACTACTACTACTACTACTACTACTACTACTACTACTACTATTACTACTACTACTACTACTACTACTACTAGTACTAGTAATAGTACTAGTAATGACTGTATAGTACTAGTAAACTTAGTACTACTACTACTACCACTAACTACTCCTACTACTACTACAACGTACTACTACTACTACTACTACTAAACGACTACTACTACAACTACTCACAACTACTACTACTAAGTAACTAGTAAAACTAGTACTAGTACTCGTAACTAAGAAGTACTAACTGGCACTACACCGATACTTAATTAAAAAACAACGAAATTCTTCAAAGGAACTAGTAACTCGTACTAGTTACTACTACAACTACTAACTACTCAACTAACATACTACACAACTACTACTACTACTACTACTAACTACTACTACTACTACTACTACGAAACTAATAACTACTAGTAAAATACTACTACTACTACTACTACTACTACTACTACTACTACTACTACTACTACTACTACTACTACTAGTATTACTACTACTCCTACTACTACTACTACTACTACTACAACTACAACAACAACAACAACAACTACAACTACTACTACTACTACTACTTCTACAAACTACTACTACTACTACTAATAATAATACTAATACTACTAAAGAATCATACGATGTACGAGTATTGCCATTAATATTTGCATTATTGGTAGTATTATTCTTAGTTGTATGGTACATCATAGTTTGATGTTTTATGTGTTGCTTCCTTTAGAGGGCAGAGCATCCCCCCCGATAAGGACCACCCCGACACGCGAGGACTTTAGCAAACGCGCCCAAAGTAGGAATCGAACAGGGCAGGGCTTTCGGTAAACGCCCAGGGCCGTTTAGTAAACGCCATTTGCCCGGTCTGGGTGGTTTTGCCTCCCTCGACTCTTGCTGCTCTTTTGTGCCTCATCGCTTGCCCTCTTGCTGTGGGAGCGGCGTCCGGGGCCCCATGGCGCGCGGGCCTCCCGCACGGGGGCCAGACGAGAGACAAGGGCTTCGGAGACGCTTGCACCGCACCGCCGAGATACAGCGGGGATGCACCTGCCACGTCGGCGGCGAGGCTCGAATTTCGAGGTTCGAGGTGCGAGGCGGTTTTTTATCGTCTTCGGCTTCTGGGGGCCGTTTTCGACCCCAGGGGAGGTCCTGGGACCGATTTTGACTGATATTCGGCAGCGCGCCCAGGGGGGGGGGGAAGTGAGAAGGAGAAGGCCCCCTAAGAAGGCGGCCAGGCTTCTCAGAAGCCATCCGGCCTTCTGAACAATTTTCTGCGTCTTCGGGGAAGGCTTCAAAATAATTCTCAGAAGGCCAGGGGGCTTCCGTGGAGCCCTCTGAGAAGGCCCGCCCCTTCTCACTTCCACCCCTCGCTCGCCGCCAGGGATGGAACTGGGCCCCGATGCATCGGCGATGCGGCGCGATCCTCCGACCCTTGTTTATGCTCGGACTCCGCTTGGGAGGCCAGGAGGTGACAGGGGGAGGGAGAGGATCCGGCAGGCACATGCACTGAGAAGCCTACAGTCGGGGCGTTGACCTAAGGAACCCTAAATAAGGAACGGGGCCCCCTTCTCCCATAAGTTGAACTTCGACTTCCCATGGAAAACCTCAAGAAAACAGAAGGCAAACTGTAGAACAGTCAAGGCACACCGAGCCCCTCCCCAACGAAAAGGGTTCCTTCTTCAGGGCCCCGGCTGTATCAGCGAGCCAGGGGCACATGTGGCGTCGGCCTCCCAGCTCCAGGATCGGCGGCGCGCCCAGGGGGGAAGTGAGGGAGGCGGCGGGCCTCCTCGGAAGGCGGCGGGGCTTCTCAGGAGCCCTCCGGCCCTCTGAGAAGCCGTCGCCGCCCTCGGAGAGGGCTTGGAAAACCTCAGGAGCCCTCGGGCCCTCTGGGAAGCCGTCGCCGCCCTCGGAGAGGGCCGAGAAAGCCTCTGGAGCCCTCCGGCCTTCTGAGAAGCCGTCGCCGCCCTCGGAGAGGGCCGAGAAAAAACCTCCCAGAAGGCCTGGGGCCTTCCGGGCCTTCCGAGAAGGCCCGCCCCCTCTGCATCTCCCCCCAGAGCTTCTGTGGGCCCCCCCGGGCCGTCGGGGGATACACGGAAATTTAGTGGAGTGCCCGCTGGCAGCCCGGCTTCCTGCCTGGTGTGCCGACCGTGAGGGGACAAGGGCATGCGGGGGGGAGGGAAGGGAACCGAAGATGGATAAAAAAAAAGTGGACCCCCAATGTCAAAGTTGGCCTCCAGCATTCGGCAGCACGGGCGTGAGAGGACAAAAAAGTGGACCTCCCAGGGCCTCCTGGAGGTCGAAGCCAACCTTGAAATTTGAGGAGGGGGGGCGAACGCGGGGTCGAAGACGCATGGGGTTCCCCTTTGGTGTCCCCTTACCGAAGGATGGCACGAGGAGGACAAGGTAGTGTACAAGGAATGTGGGCAAGGGATGCCGGGGTCAGCGGGAGGAGAACCAGAGGTCAGGCGGTC